ATAATTATACACCAAAATATGATGCAAAGTAATGTAAATATAATTTTCATCAAACAATAGAAAAAAATCTTTAAAAATGCCTTCAGCAATGCCAGCTGGAATTCAATAGACTTTATACATTTTTGAAATAAATAGCAAAAAACTTTTCTTTATAGCAAAAAGCAAAGCATAATTGAAACAAGCATCAGTAAACATTTGTTTTGATTAAAAATCTTTTTTTCTTGTTGTAAACTACAATCTTCAGAAGTTATTAGTAGGCAGAAGTAAGCTTATCTTGCTTAAAACCTCTGATGATATTTTGTATTTTCTAAACAATCTTCTTGCTTGTTGACCCATGTAATTTCAGAAAATATGCTGAACAATAAGAGTTTGGACAAAGATTCTAAGGCTCTGCTTCTGATATGCTCCTTGAATAAGGACAGCAAATAATTTGCATAAAAATATAAAATAAACAAAGCATTGGGCATTGCATGCTGAAAGTGTAATTCCTCCAACAAAATCACGAATAACTTATCTACTTGATTCAGCAGTAATTTCTTCTGGATTGCTGCTTCACCACTGAAGTCATTGAATAGGATATCAAATACCACAGTACTAAATGCTGTTATTGTTTTATATTGGATAAAACTTGTAAACAGAAAAACTTGAAATAAATATACGAGCTGCTATTGCAGGCTATAATGAATAGGTTTAAAAGGCAATATTTAGTCAGTATACATGCTTCAACTAAGTGACGTTCTGTATATCATATTTTGCCAAGTCGAATAATCTATTCCATCTATTATCAAATGACAAATTTAATGATGGTGGGAGGAGAGAGAAACTGTGAATACTGGTAAAGAAATAGACTATGGTAAATATGATTGATTTTTAATACAGTACTACATTGAAGACTTAAGTGTGTTTAAAAATTAGACTATATTTAATATTTGGCATACTTCAGATACTTATAAATATCTGTTGAGTGAATGCATAAAATTTACTCATAGCAGAAAATGCCAAAATGCTCCCCAAGGAAAATGAAGTATTGTTGAATATGTTTCTGACCTCCAGTTTTATTTCATAGGGTATTTAGTATGCTTTTAACAGAAATCTGAGTGTTCTGTAGAAGTTTGGGGTGTAAGTAGATTGATAACCACCTTTGATGCTCAGCAGGGAGCTCATAAATAGTTAAGCATATGCAAATTACTTGAAAGAAGTTTGTCTTCATTCGTTGTTTTAGGTCAGACTAATGATTTTCTTTTTCAAACAGAACCAAATGGATGTGTCAAAGAGGTAAAATCCTTAATAGGAGTGGACATAAATAGTTTCCAACCTGCTGCTAAGGTTACAAATGTCACTGGTAGTTGTCATTATAGCAGAGCAGAGGGTCCTTCATCATTTCAAACACATTTCCAGATCCACAGGTAGTGAGATAAGTGACCATTACCACATGCACCAAAAAGACAAACAGATGGTGTGCAGATCATTTATTTTTCTGTGTGCCTTATAGGATTCAAGCATTTTAGAAGTCATTCAGAGTCATGTGCTTTATATCAACTTATGTAAAAGCATTTACATATATTGAACCCTTGCCCTTCACTCCTGGGTTTGTTTTCTCCACCTTCCTTTTCCCACACCCGAAATGTGTAAGTGTGCAACTCAAGTGTATACCTTTCCCTAGGGTGACTGTGGAAAAAATAAAGGATCTCTATTAGGATTCCAAGTGAGCATTTTCATTTAATCTTTTGCAATCTTTCTAACCCCTGGGGAATGATAAATTGTGCAATCTTTGGCATGGGCCAAAGGCTTGTGCTCTCTTATTGAGTTTTGCCCCTGAGTCTAAGTGAGGGTGGAGGGCATATTGAAAGAACGCAAAAAGATTTGCCTGGCAGAGCTGATTGAGAACTTCCTGAAGTTCTTCCCAGCAGAGTTTAAAACAGATTGTACCCACAATCTAAACAGACCACAGATATGGCCAAGAAAACTGAACTGACTGGGCAGAGTCCATTTTAGGGCTGTTTTGTTGTTTCCTGGTCCTACAGATAAAGCCAGTAATGACATTATGCATTGCCCTTTCCCTGTCTGTTGTAATTACCTCATTGCAGCCCATATAAAGCAGGTGGTAAATTATTGGCCCAGCCAAAATCAACTAATTCAACATGCACTTTGGAATCTTTCCAGAACTTGCTGAAAATTGTACATTCAACAGCTATACATAGGCTACGGTAAAGAAGGATATCATATTTTTAGGTTTCATAAACACTTTTATCTGCAATTCTTTCTCATTCACCTTTAAGCACGCACCCAAATGATGCTGCTTAGACTGTCCTGAGTTGACCTGTTACATAGAGTGATATTAGACCATAAGCTTTACTGGCCCAAATAGAATGTCATGTCTTTTTATATTAACCACAATCCTGTCTCAGTGTGTGCCTTTTGTACTCATCCCTTTAATTTGGATTTTCTGGTTAGATTACTTGACTAAGAATTAAGTGGATTTAGCACCTGCGAGTTCAATTTCCTTCAGCTAAATTCAGTTTTCCATATTCAGTTCTATCAAAGCCCACTCCCATTTGGCCTTACCTAGCTGAGACATGTCTGCAAAAATCAGCCTGAGAGAGAAATAGTTTATTTCATAGTTAGATCTTAGAAAAATTATCCTACCCAAATAATGTATACACAAATACTATGTTAATCGGAGCTAAGTATAGAAACAGGTATTCCTATCACCATGTTTTCCCAATATACGACAAAATGAAGTAAGATCAGGCTACCCAGAAGTTTGCTTACATCAGTAATACACATTTCAGCAATTTGGGACATGGGAACTAATGCACCATATGAAAAAGCATTTCAAAAGCCCCCAGCTATGAGTAAATCAGGGCATGTGAAATCTCCTTTCACAATGTTTGTTGCCACAGGATTTTGTTTTAGTTTTTAGAATATTTTGTTAGTAATTAATATTTTTTGATGTTCCATGTCGGTCTTATGTGAAAGTATAATACTGTGACATTTGAAATGAGTACCCTGAAGCTTGCTTGAATCAACAGTGCATTTGTTGTTAGAAATCAACTTGATTAAAAAAAGGTCTGTATTTAGGCATTCTTAAATTACTGAGGCTTAGAAATATGCTTTTCAAGGCAGAGATCTTATATACTCAAATTTCTTTTAGTTTTGACTAAAAAGTCTTCTCCTGTAATATAAGTAGTAGCTCTTCTTACACAAATTTCTTATATGAGTCAGGTCTATGGCTTTCTTCCAAGAGTGGTATTTGGGTTTATACAGATGTGTTTTTTGTTTATTTGTTTGTTTAAAATACTGTTAGTTATGAATTCCAAATACCTTTGAACCAACAGTAGTCTAAAACTCTTTGTCAACAAGTATCCTCCCTTCTCCTTCTTCCCTTCCATCCAAAGACTCAATATAAGGCCAGGCAGGAAGACAATTCCAGTTTAATTAACTGGAAAGTTTAATTGTGTTATTACCTTTCTTATTGTCGCCAAGGTCACTCTTCCATATCACATGCAACTCTAAATCTGAGTCCGACTTCTCAATGATGCAGAAGTGGACATTGACTCATACTCACCAGAACCAGTAGTGAAGATCTTAATAATAGACTTTAGTGCTTCCTATGAGAAGTAGGCCTACCATTTGGTAGGTAAGTAGACTTACATTTTAGGTTAAAGATGGGCACCTCATCCACAAGTTTGCACTGATTCCTCATCCATTCATCGAACAATTTTGGCACTCTTTCGGTAGCCACTATTCTAACAACTGTTAAAGATAAAACCTGAGAGACAAAAAAATCTATTCCTTAAAAATTTCCATTTTTATTTATTATTTGACCCTCAATGTGCTATTCTGGTTCTTGATGTGATTTCATCTTTTTAGTTCTTGCCTTGCTACAAGTTCATTTTTCTCCCACTTTCACTTGAAACTATTCTTGTGCTCCTCAAAATTCAAATACTAAGTAACTAAAATGAAAAAAAAAACAATTACAGTATCTAAATTGCAGATGGTAGTGCCACTTTTGTTCCCAAATGAATCAATGCTCTTTTTTTGTATTTTTATTTTTTAATAAGGTTTATATTGTGTAAATACTGTACACATGAGCAAGGTAATGAGTACATTTCTTATCAAGCATTGTTGCCTCCTCCTTTGTGTTTCTCCTACCATCCCTTCCCTCCCACCTCCATAACGACATTCCTCTGCTCCCTCCCCCACCTAAATTGTAAAGTTCATTTTTCGACATAGTGTCTTGTACATTTCATTGTTGCAATGGATCAACCCATATCCCTATTTAAACAATTTGTTTTTTTCTTTTCTGCTCCACAAATTATATCGACATCAAATACAATGAAAACTGGGGTTATACCCTGGGGGAGGGACATGCAAAGTGACAAAAAAATCATGTGGTACCTTACAAATACGTTAGAAACAATAACAAGAAAAAAAAAACACTTGTGTCCTTATCTTGCTCTTTTACTTATTAGATTGCCCCTAAATGGCCAACTACATTGCACATTGGAAGAAAATTTTACTTAGAAACTACTCAACTCTAGTAATCAATTCAATGGCTGGTATGATGTTATAGTCACCAGGAAATTTGATTTTTTTTTACAAATATCTATTTTCACAAATATTTATTACTTACATTTAGTTACAGTACTTAAGAGGATCTATTCAATATACTTATACAACAAAAACACAACTAGTATTTATAATCAAAAGTATAATTTAAATGATTATTATTTGAGATTAGTTTGGTTTTTACATAGAACATTTGTTAGTCAACTCACAAGCCAAAAATCTATGAGTTAAGCTGTTAAAGTGATTCAATATTTGCTACAAAATTTGACATTGTAAAATTTTTTGGTAATTTAATGAGTGAGATCTCTCTTAGGTATGAAAACTTAATGACAACAAATAAGACTCTCATGTTGAAGAATAAACACCCTTTCCTCGGCCCAGAACATTCCGCTTGCAGCCGTGTAAGGGTTTTTCCTTTAAGGCTAAGAAAAATCACCAAGAATATGTCTGAGGTTGAGCAAGATCTAGATCCAGATAGTACTACAGGTACAGAATTTGTTATAGATTCTGAAGAAGAACTTATTAAAGAATGTGAAGAACTCTGGAAAGATATGGAAAATTGTCCGAATAAATGGTTGCTTATTGGAACTGAGACACTCACCTAATTCAAATGCACAGCTATCATTACTGATGATGCAAGCGAAATGCTTGACTGCTGAATTCAAGCAATGGCAGAATGAAACACCTGAAGTAATTCCTCTGACTGATGATGTTCTAACTACATTAGAGAAGGAAGAGTTACAAAAATTGAAAAATGATCTTGAAATTATACTACTCACTATTCAGTCCAAGAATAAAAAGTTAAAGGAAGACTTTGCAAGAGAGCAGCAGTGGTTGGATGAACAGCAACAAATAATAGACACTCTTACTACAACCCAAAGTGAACTGGAGAGTCATATTGAGGTGCATTGTAAATCGAGACTTGAAATGACTAATGAGATGAAAGCTGAAATACTCATTATAAAAGAATTTAAGGAGAAACTCTTGATTGCCCTGGGTGAATTTCTTGAATACTGTTTTCCTCTGCCTGGTGGAAAAACTAAAAGGAGAAAGACAAACGTTGAACCAACTGCACAGCTGATAACATTGAATGAGATAATTGAGATCCTTATAAATAGAATATTTGATGTTCCACATGATCCCTATGTCCAAATTAATGCTTCCTTTTGGCCACCTTATATTGAGCTGCTGCTGTGCAATGGAATTGCCTTGAGACATCCTGAAGATCCAAACCGAATAAAATTAGAAGCCTTTCATCAGTAAAAGGATGGTCTCTTTTCATACTGTAAGGAATCTTGTTATCAAAGGATAAAGGAAACATAGTACTGTTTGAATAAGTCAATAATAGTTCATAGTTAGTAGTTCATATTCCTCTTGCTATTTTATAAACAATTTCCTACTGTTTAGCCCTGGCTAGTGTCCATCTCCATATCCTTTAGCATCCATCTCTCCAGTGCTGGTTGTGGTGTGTGCTACCACCGAGCCAGGTGGTTGATCTAATTTAAAACTTCAATAACTCAAACTGTCAATTATTCATTTATAAAGTGATTTTTTTATTGTGAAAATACTGTTCAGAGGGGTTACAATTACCTGGACAAGATAATGAGTACATTTCTTATCAAGCATTGTAGCCTCCTCCTTTGTTTCCCCTTCCCATCCCATCCACTCCCCCTTCCCCCCACCCTGTTTTCCCCTCCCCCTCCCCCCACCAAAGTTGTAAAGTTCAGTGTTTTTTTTTTACTCATTCAGTACTTTTATGTTTTCAACTGCAAGTGAAAAATACTGTATATTGTTTATCAAGTGTGTACTTAATGTTCTTTGAAAAATTGTAAATCTGTGAAGTTTGCTAATGTTTTTCCAGAATTGTTGTATTGGAGACTATTGGCTCATTCCTACAGGCTGAGATCTGAGGATTCCAGATTGAAGCCAGCTTGGGTAGACAAATTATTGAAATCTTTATCTCCAATTAATTAGCAAAAAGTCAGAACTAAAGGCATGGCTCAAGTAGTGGGGCACCAACTTAATTGAAAAAGCTTGAGGCTCTGAGCCAAGCTCCAGAATATTGTTGCCCCTCCAATAAATGAAAGGTCACTTAATTTGGAGATTTTTTTTTTCTTATGGTGCTAGGGAGCAAACCTAGGACCTTGTTAAAGATAGACAAGCACTCAACCAACCATATCAGGAGATAGTCTTAAAATTGAAATATCCATCCAATTAGAAAGATAATTTTAAAATATTGAGCAAATCTGTTTCATATATATTGTTTCTTTTCTATGTTTGTTAAAAATTAGAATATGGAAAATAGTGGATAAGCAATCTTTTATTCTGTATTAAATACCACTGACAGTATATGGTAATACCCCTCTTGTTTCTGCTAATTATTACCAAGAAAATTGTGTTCAAAACATTTTGCGAGTTTCTATAAATAAATTTGTTTCTAAAAAAATAAACAGAAAATAGCTCTGTGAAAAATTCCACAAGTCTTAGGATTATAAAACAACATCCATAAAAACATAAACATTTTAAAAACTCAGAATATATTTTTGGGAGTGAACTTAATTATTTCTGTTTTCCCAAAATTAATCTTAAAATGAGCTCAATAAGAACTGTAAGATGTTATAACATATTTATAAACGTTTTTCTCAATTTCCTTTGAAAAAATGCATTTGCAAGAACACTCACCAATTTTAATAATAAGGAATTCTGCAGCTAGAGGAGTTAAAGAAATTTATGGAGGAAGAGACAAATCAATTGTGGTGTGATATGGAATTGATCTAGAGGAATCTGATTTTCCAAATTAATTCAGAAATGATCCATGCTTAAAGAAATGATAATGTATGTGCTGGCTATCCATTTTAGAAAAATACAATCCCCATCATAGCATACTCAATATAAATTTCAGATAGACTGAAGGTTTATGTTGAACAAAGCAGTAAAAATCATAAAAGAAAATAAAAGTACACAATTTGCAAAATTGAGGAGGATGAAACCAAGCCTAGAAGCCATAAAACATAAAAAAAGAATCTGATTATACCTCAAACATTCTAAAATAATTTGTAGGGAAAATACATTATAAGAAAATTTACACAATCTTTTTATTTGTGAAAAATCATTTACTATAGTCCTCAAACACTACCTTATCAAGCCTCACTACATATATCGCTAAGATTCACACAGCAAAACATAAGATATCCCAATAAAAATGAGAAACTATAAGGAGACAGTTCAGAGAAAGATTTGTAAAAATCACCAATCATGGATGCTCAATCTTACTAATTCTCAAATGCAAATTAAAATAACAATGAAAAATCTTCCCTTCAAAATGGAAATGGAGAGAAGTCATCTTGTTTTGATTACTTATTGTGTAGTTTCTGTGAATATTTGTATTAATATTTATATAAATATGTACATTTTTAGTCAGCAAGTTTGCCTATATAATTTATTCAAGAAAGGCTCCAGTGAGTCTATAAAATATATTAATTCAAACAGTGTTGGCAATAGTAAAAAATAAGAAATAACCTAAATAGCCAGCAATAGGTAACTTGTTTAGTGTTGCATTCATGAAAGGTAATATAATAAAACTATTGGAGAGAATTTAGTCTTTGTATCATAATATTAGAAGATGAGAAATAAATGTACAAACCCTAATAAAATTACAGGATGTCAAAATGCATCCCAGCTGAACTACATCTGTGTCCCTGATCCATCAGATTTTGAGGAAGAAGAAAGGTGTTACTTTAAAGGCACAATGTTTGGAAGTAGTTTATAGCAAATGAGACAGTATAACAGTATAAAAACAGAACACAGTACAGATTGAAGGGAGTTTCCTACTTTTAGTAAGGTGAGAAATAAATCTAGGGTATTTAGTATGGTATAAAATATTAGAATCATGAAAGGTAGGGAAAAAGACACTCCATGTTCTAAAGAAAAGAGAGAGACTTGTTAGGTAGATAAAAGTAAAATGGTACAGTCTTAGTGACAGAAAGAAGGAATTATATTCCTGCTTCAATATATCTCAACTACAAATCGTTTGTTTCTGGTGAGAGAATGAAAGCCATGATTCATGGGAGAGGTTGCTTCCAGCAGGGACAGAGAAAACTTCTGTGTTGTGTTGCTGGAGAATCTAAAACTCTCCAATCAAGCAGCTGGAGCAGATCACCTTCCAACTTTTTAATACTTTTATTCCATAGGAAGAAGAGCTTCTTTTTCCTAAATTATTTAATAAATGGTGTGACTGGACACTTCAATACCCTGTGAGGAGGAGGTGGAGGAGGCAGTTGAGAAGGAGGAGATGGAGAAGGAGAAGAAGGAGAAAGAAGAAAAAGAAGGGGAGGAGGAGGAAAAAGATCCTAAACAGTCTAAACAGTGAAGGACTCAATGCTGAATCCTAAGTATTGAAAATAATAGGGAATCTAGGATCTAAGAACACAATATGTACTATTAATTTCCTTTTAAAATAGTCTCATTATAAAGGCAATCTATCCTGTTTCACAGAAGCATGTTGATAAGCATTCCATTCTTGTGTAGGAGCTCCTAAATAGCGTCCTTCTCTGAATGTTCATCCTCTCACTCACACCACACTATACCTCTTCATTCTTTTTTCACAGAAAATGTATTTACTGCATAGCTCCTTCACAATCCTTCACTGTACCTGCAAATACCTTTAGTCTGTAGTTAGTATCCTTCAGTGTTCTCTACCAATTCCTTATGAGTCTTCAGATGTCATTTAGGTATCACATTCTTACTTTCTCATTTTTAACCTCTATTTTGACATTTGCCACCACACATCCTGTAACCCACCCATAGGCTTCATTCCATCAGATTTCCATGACATTCCATCAGATTTCCATGAGCTTTCTTCATTTATCCTCCACTGAAATATTGATTTAAATATATGCTCTTCGGTCAGCACAGAAGCCTCAAAATGCCAGATATCTGCTATTTATAACAGCTATTTCTATACATAAAAGAAATTAAGGGGGACGGCGCAAGATGGCGGAGGAGAAGCTGGAATCTGAACAAGCTCTCGCATAGAAAGCAGTTTCAGAGTTCCAGTGAACAGTCCTAAGCCAGAGAATCACACCAAGTGTGCCATCACAGGACAGAGAGTTAGACAAGAGAGGGAAGCCAAGGCAAAAAAGACACATCTGAGCGATTGCCAGCAGCCACAGAGGCGGCGGCAGCAGGGTCGTAAGCGGCGGAGACCGAAGCCATACCTGAGCGCTCACACAGAGAGTCCGGGACGAAGGAGCCAGACGCAGCGGGCAAGCGGATTCTACTCAACACCAGCAAGAACCGACAAGGAGCAGATAGCTTCATCCTGCAGTTTGCAGACCAGAGACGACCCAGGATCCAAGACTCGGCGTGAGTAGAAGCCC